CAGAACTCTGAGGAAGGGTCACTGGACCCGAAACGTTAACTCTGTTTTCTCCTCCACAGATGTTGCCAGACCTGCTGGGTAAGCCCTTGCTGTCTCATAACATTTAAGCCTATGGGCTTAGTGTGGGAAAGTGGGACCAATGTAAGAAGTGGTATATTTTGGGGGTACAGACTTGATGCGCTGTATGAAACTATAGTTAGACTGTCGGACTCCAAACTGATAGTACTGGTGTCAAATAAGTTACGCAATCTGTGTACTCTGCATGCTTCCAGTTGAGGTTACTGTGTGCGCTAATGTACTCAACAAAATGGCACCTAGCACCAGAAGTGAAATCCACCAAGTCAACACCATACTGAAGCTGAAATACACTTATAGCACTGATGAGCCAATGCTAAGGAGCTAAATAACACAGCCAATGCCTTGCTCTACATAGTGCAATTTTATGAAATTTCTTGTTTTGCTTTATATTACAGAAGTGAATATGTTGTGGGCAGCACACCAAGTTCATCATAGCTCTGAGGACTACAATCTGTCTACAGCCCTCCGGCAGTCCGTATTACAGAAATATTTTTCCTGGGTAAGTTATTTGTGAAATATTATACTGGAAATATTTGGAAGCAAAGTCCAATGTCCCCATTAACTGATGAAACCAGTGGCCTGTTCAGTCAATTGGAAAGCAGCAAGAATTTCTTAATCCTTTGATGGAGCAATGCCAAATTTTTCAGGACGTTGTCTGCCAAGGTCATATCAACCGTCTTGAAGTGCAATCTCTTAACGCATAGGATATGTTATAAGCGTCGCTAATTATGTACAGTTGATCCATTTATATAATTATTTTAAATCGGTGTTTGTCAGCTTTTGTATTTCATGTTGCACTATGGATGTAAGTATTTGGGTAAAATGTAAATGCAGCTTTAGTTTCACTTGGCCATTGAAGCTCTCATTTTCTCTTCTGTGTAGCTATATTGTGTTGAGACACTATTTTGGAGCAGGAAGAGCTTACCTGCAGGATGAATACTCAGCCATGCTTTTCTTTTTAGATTATATAAAAAGCAGACTAAAAGTTTCCCCAACAAAATCTCCCTTGTTTAATATAAGTCCTTTTTAAAAATGATTTTTTGTTGCAATTCCTTACCTTTGTTAGTTTGTCCTTTCTCTGTGCACTACTAAATGACTATAATGGGTGGCAGGAAACTTGCTGCAAGCCATCTGTCAATGTCATGTTTAAATTGACTGTAAAATTGAACATTTACCCCTGTCATTTCTTTGGGGAAGCAAACTGACTTTACTCAAAACCATTTTGTGGTGTTAGGGCTGACTGTGCCCTGAATTGCAGAAGGGATTTCAAAATCATATCAAACTGGCTGATGCTTCATCCATGTCAGGCAACAGAGAGCATTTTTTTAAAAACTTCTCCAGACTGATTATTGAAAATTTTATTTTTCATGGCATTTCTCCTCTTCAGCCAATAAAGACTCATATTGAGCTTAAAACATTAACTCTGTTTATCTCTCCATAGACACTGCCACTGTCCCTTGTTTTCTGGCAAAGGATCTAGATTGAGGCCCTTAATTGCCATGTCATTGGACAGATAAGGGCTTCAATGGGGCTATTTTATATTTAGCTTTGTGGCACCCTACGCACTGTTCATATTATAGGGTCAAAAGTCACATGACACCAAGTTATAGTTCAACAGGTTTATTTCAAATCACAAGCTTTCGGAGCATTGCTCCTTTGTCAGGTGAAGTCACATTTGATGTGAAAAAGGAGCAGTGCTCCGAAAGCTTGAGATTTTAAATAAACCTGTTGGACTATAACTTGGTGTTGCGTGACTTTTGACTTTTGTCTTCTTTAGTCCAACATTGGCATCTCCACATCATATCACAGGGAACGGGGTGAGTAGGAAAGGGGTAAACTGACCACATATTTTACTTTGTAGACCTTATATCAACTTCCATACCTACAAAAAAAGAGACCACATGGGAGGCCATAAAATCCAGCTGATATGGTCAGTGGAAAATCACTGGGTAATTAGTGAATGCCCTTCTTTTCTATGGATGGAGTTGATGACTATTTCTAAGGAAGAATTAGTGAGCTAGAATTTGAATCTAACCGCATTAGACATAATATAAGATGATTTGATGCTGATATCAGATGATCAATACAGGAAGTAGTCCAGATATAATAAGAGAAAATTAAAAGCACCATATTTGAAAATAGAGTCGACTGCATTTCAATTTTGTCAAGTTCTTCACAGACGGTATTGTTTAGGTGCCCTTATAAATCACTGTTAGAGGCATTAATTTATTTAAATTGTTTTAAATGTTAGTTTAATAATTGATCTGTAATTGTTTCTTCTTAATCAAAGTGTTAACTATCAAATGATATACTTAAATGTCAGATCCTTTTGATCCCATTTTATTTTATGCACTGTGATTGAATAAACCAAATACAGTTGGCTTCGAGAATATGGTTAATTCTAAATTTGTTGGATTATTGTAATCCAATAAATATGGGCTGTGTTAGACACTTGTTTCTTTACAGGATTAGATCTATTCATTGTGAATATTTGAGAAGGTATTGAGCCATTGTCGTCCAATCTTTAGGAGATTGGGCTTGTCGAATTCTTGGTACTCAGAGATAGACACGTGGAGGCTAAGAATCTCCTGTTTCCACTAGCAGAAGTTTGCAAATGTGGAGACCTGGGTTCTATCTTAAATTCAAAAGGTGGGATTATTTGTATGTTTGGGGAACTTCAGTAACATTAAGATTGTGGGATTAGTGCCCCTCTAGCGTACAGATAAAAAGCCTGAAATGAGCGGGCGTGGGAAGTTAGCTCAGTTGTTTTTCAAGTCTTCTGCTCATCAGTGAACTGTCAGAGATAAGTTATCAGTGACAACAGCAGTTGTGGAACCTTCTTTTGGACCTTTCTAGGACTAAGCTCAGCTGTTGAGGCCTGTAAAGGATGGATTAATTGGATATTGAATGGAAGCTCGGGAATTCCTACAAATATGTCCACTTGGCATGGAATCTTCTTTTGCCTTCACAACAAACATTCACAGCCTTTTCTCTGAATTTTTTCGCATGTTTTGGAAAACATTTGGCATTACGCTAGAGAACTATCCAAGCCTTCAGCAGAATTTTGACTTTGTAATTCCAAGCAACCGAATGGTGAAGGGAACAGCCTACAATTTCTTTAATACTTCTAATGGCATACAAATCTGGATGGCAGCATTGAGCCCCTTAGAAATATATACCTATTGTCAATGTTGCATGAACTGGCATCAGGCCTCAATCAATGACTGGAACTATTAAGCGTACGGGCTAAATGTTTGAAACAGAATTATACAGAAGTAGGAAATTTCTTAAATCCACGAACCCAACTGAGAAGAAAGTGCCAAACAATTTAATTTTTGTTCCGGGGAGGAAGAAGTGGATGACAGGAGTTGGGAGTGCACCAGAATCAGGCATGCCACCCATAGAAGGAGTTCAGAGGCAGCCACTGACACAGTTGATTATCAATGGGGCAAACTCTTTTAAAAGTCTGACCTCAGTGCTCTGGGTCTTTGCACCAGATTCAGCAAAAATAGTAGAACAAAAAGCAGCCCTTTATCTGTCACCCCTCTCTTCCTCACACATGCCTCATCAGTGTCAGCTCATTAGGTCACCACCTCTTGAAGACTGTCATACTCCTCATGGTAACCTATTGCTCTCTACCTCACTCCCATGGCCCCTTGTATCTTCCATAGAATTAAATGCACAATCCTCCACCTAATCCTCCAATGTTTTATTGTCCTGTGCCAACCAGGTGCTAACTCAGGCTAACTCTAACCTCCATTCGCCTGCTTTTGGCTTTGTATTCTCATGTAAACTCACACAGCATCCACTATGGGCAGACCTCAGGCGCCATTGCTGAGATGAAAGAAAATAAAGTTTGAAACATTGATTGCAGACTTCATAGTTTTAAACAAAAAAACACCCATGCAATTATTTAAATTCCTTTCAATATTTAATTCCTAATAAAACCAAACATTTCTCTTAAGTACTTAATCATGTACAAAAACAAATATTTGTTTTCAAAGCCCCACATCAATCACAGCTAATCCCTTCAAATCTCACTGAGTAGTCAAACTGCAAATTTACAAGCTCACTGAGATACTGATCGATTGCAGAAGCAGTCAAACAGTGTGAATCCCTGAGGCTTATATCAATCATCATTTATAAAATGGCATCCAAGTCTATTCTTAACACTCCCAAAGAGGTATGTGACCCCTTCCAGTGGATTACCTGAATCCCCAAAAGGGTATCTGACTTTGCCCAAAGGGAAACCAGGTCCTTCCAAAAGGCGTAATCTGTCCCTCCAGAGAATTATTTCCCCCAAATGTCTAAAGCCATGACTCACATTTCAGATTTCAGAAACCTGGGTAACCAAAATTGCTTCTGTTTGAAGGCACATAAAATTGCTGCTGCCTTTGTGTATCACAAACATCCTACATCCATATGATACACTCCTACCCCACCCTGCCAAAATCAATAGATGTTGAGTTCAGTGGCAGGACTTTCAGAATTGGGGTTCATTGTCATTTGGCTAAGGGGTGGAGTTCTTTGGCTTCTGCGAAAATTTAGGCATAAGATACAATACAGAAGGCAGACTCACTCTGTTGCCATTATAAGTTGGGTTGTAACTTTACAAGTGATTCACTTTGGCTTTCAGATCCATTCTTTGATCTGTGCTTTGTACCTCCAGAGACAATGTGTCTTGTCATCTCAACAGAAAATGCACTCCTTTTGTGAAATTCTGGATTTTGTATTTGATTAACTCATTGCACGAAACAGGTTGTAAAACTGATGAAGAGTTGTCCAGACTTGAAACGTTGCTCTCTCTCCATGGATGCTGCCTGACCCGCTGTGATCCACAGCATTTATTGTTTTCAGTGTAAAATTAATTCACTATGCGCTTTCCCTTTGTAAGTGTCGGCACATTGAAACAGCAAAAGGCACTATAATTTTACTGTCAGCTTGTCCATTCTGGCCATAACACAATGCCTTACCATTCTCTCCAGCTTTTTACAAGGAATGTATTGGAACACTGGATGAGTCAACGCGTCCTTATTCTACCCCAATTGAACAGAGAGCCAGAACTTGGGGAAAGGACAGGCATATCTCTGTTCACACCCCATCCTTCTGAGATGACAACTGAGGCAAAAGATGATTTACAGCAGGCCCATAAAAACTCAGTCACCTGCCTCACTTCTGAACACAGAATAGGATTGTAGGATGAAGGTCAAGTCTAACTGTACCTTCTTCGCCACTCACAAACAGGGCAAGTGGAGATAAGGTGACTTTCACATGAAATGAAAATCTCTACAACTGAAATTAAGCTTCACAGATTTTATTTGTCCCTAGATTACGTTAAAGTGCAAATGCCATTGCCAATTCTTAGCCAGCCCAGCAAAGCTCGAATAAAAGATGTTCTTAACTCTATTTCCAAAGTATGAGCCAGCTGGTTTATTTTCCCTTTTTCCTTCCCTATCCGTCAGTCCAGGCTTCCTGATCTCTGACAGCCTTGGATCCTATCTCCAGTTTGTTACCTCCCTGCCCTGTCACACAGAACTACACTATCTTGTACATAGTCGTCTTAATCCACCACAACCATATTCTCAATCAGTGAGTAATACTTTAGGTGATTTGCCAATTTCCAAAAAAAGAATGAACACAGATGTGATCTAGTAACTGTTTGAAGAGTATCAGCGTATATCATTAGAGTTTTATTTTAAAAGATGTAATTTAATTGATACAATAATTATTTTGTTCCAGGTCTTTAACCTTCCAATGGCTCTCTTCATCCCTCCCTCAGTTTTTGCAGTACATCTTCAATTTAACTTGTTGTATCAGTTCTGGATTCACACAGAGGTAACTCTTTATTTTCATTAACATTTAAAATACATTTATTTAATGTCCTTCATTAATCTGGTATCATTTTGTAACTGCATCTGTGCTGTGTCCTGGTACAGGTTCAATAGCATGGACTTCTGAATGGAATGAAATGTTTGAGGATTTCAGCGGACAAATATACTTTGCAATGAATGTATTTATTATTGCAAGTTATAAATGGCTTAATAAATCAAAAAATGCTTTCTTGAAGAGTTCAAGAGTTTAACAATTTAAAAGAAAATGCATTTTTGTTTCCTTTAAACTCCTGAGTGTGGTCTTTATAAGTTTAGGCAGTTAATGTGTATTTAAGACAAAATGCACTGTTGACAAAATAAGCCTTTTAATGGAAATTGTAGACTGTCTAACTAGAACTGAGATCACAGAACACTTCAATGAGTTAAGGATAATCTAGATGATGCTGGGAGAATGGGAGAGAAAGCAGCTGAGATTTATGGTGTTTCAAACTTTGACAAAATGTAAATACACATTCATCTTAAAATGTGACTTATAATTAACTGTTAACACTTTGAGAAAAGATCTAAGGTTGGAAGTACAGAGTTTATTAAAGTGGAATGTTATTCTTTATAATCAGCGGATCTGGGGAATAAGTGGGATGAAGTTTTGCTGTAGCTTTACAAAACTGTTTGGATCACATCTGCAGTTCAATGTACATTTCTCGGCACCACATTTTATCTATTGGAAGGAGTCCAGAAGCAGATTCCTTAGAATGCTGCTAACTCCCAGTGTTGGATTATGCGTAGAGATAGAATTTTAAGCAATGAACTGATTGATGTTTTTAAGCTTTTGGAAGAGATTGTTAGCATTGGGTAAATGAAACTGTGTGGTCCCCAGAAAGGAAAGGACAAAGCAGAGGCATAACTGTTCAGGGCTATATTTAGGAAAAATTTATTCATGCTCAACATAGTATAAGTGTGATAACAAGGTGTAGAGCTGGACGAACACAGCAGGCCAGGCAGGCCAGGCAGCATTAGAGGTGCAGGAAAGCTGACATTTCGGGTCTGGACCCTTCTTCAGAAATGAAGAAGGGTCCAGACCCGAAACATCAGCTTTCCTGCTTCTCTGATGCTGCTTGGCCTGCTATGTTCATCCAGCTCTACACCTTGTTATCTCAGATTCTCCAGCATCGGCAGTTCCTACTATCTCATAGTAGTAGTGTGGTGCTCCATCCTGTGAAAAACAGAAGGTGCTCAAAAAGTTAACATTTTAAGCCAGGTAGTACTGAAACATTTTTGGTAGACAAGTCTACGAAAGGATATAGAACCATGGCATCTCCTAGGAGCTAAAGTACAGATGAGTCATCATCTCATTGAATGGGGAATTGGCTTGAGTGTTTGAATGATCTCCTGTTGTTCTGATGTTTGTAGAATTGAAAGTATACATTCTTTCCCCCATCTAATATATTTCTATCCAACTCTCACATGTCCTAAAGAAATAATTTTCCTCACTGATATAGAGTTCCATGGTCAAGTGATTCCCTAAAGCACCTCACTCTTAGTATTAATTATTTCTGAGTTTGTGAGAACGGACCGAGAAACTTAAACCTGAATGCAGTGCTTCTCAACATCTTGGACGCTTTTCCTGACCCATTGGATGATGCATTGTTTGTCAATGTGATGCAATCTTAATACAAAAGAGGGTAATATACATATTTTTGCTCATAAGCCAGCAAAACCATTAATTATTTTTGTCAATATGTCATTTGCATAAGTTATATGTTGTGGTATATCTCATGGTCAATATACCAGTATATCTTTGAGAAGGTATGTTCGTATCAGCATTATATCACAGCATGTCACTTGAGAGACCTGTGAGTATAAAGGCTCATGTGTCATCTTACCCGACAAACATTTAAAACATGACAGGTTACTAGAAGCATGCTGGTGTTGGATATCAGGTCATCTTTAAAACTGAATTCTTATACTATTTCATATTTAGTATTTTCTATGCAGCATTAATGTTACAGCTGTAACTCTCTTATCATGGCATAAACAGATCTCTCGCATATGAAAATGAAAGGAAAGGTAGTAAGAATCACTGAGGTGATAATGTCCCATGGACCTAATGTCAATAATTTAGCAAGTGCCATACATACTCTATTATCAATAAATTGTTTGGGAAAATAATGGTTTTATTCTTAGAATTGTAAACTAAGCCACCGATGATGTGGGAAAGGGCAAAATAGTCATCTTAATGTCATGAGTAACTGCTCATGTCATAGGCCAAAAATACAAGTGATTGCCACAGGAGAGAGAGAGAGAGAGATAGAGATCTAATATCTAATTGAATAATGTATTGTATCTAAACTGCTGCTTCTTAAATAAATTTAACGAACATTCTGAAAATTACTGACAGGTGCTCAACTGCCTACATTATTCAGTGCTTCCCTGTTTTAAATTAGTGGCTTAAAATTAGCCCAGACCACTATTAACCTGTGAATGTAATACTTGTGTGTAAAGGTTAGTTGGAAAAAAAAAGTTTGTTGGATTCTTCAATACCATAACATCAAGACCTAGTTTCTTATCACAGATAAAATAAGCATTCCACATTAGGCAAACACCCTACTGGAGCAAACTCACACATCATGATAACAGTGCTGGCCAAACAGAAATACTCAAATACCGTAGAAGCAGACATTTGGAAAACTAATTGAGGAGAAAAGAGCCAACACTTTCGGGCAACAGAGAATTCAGGACAATGGTACAGTTTTCTCACCTTTCAGAAACATCAGTTCCTATGAACACAGGCAGCATACAGGTCGGATGTTGCTTACCAAGAATACTGAGCTAATTTCTTTTTGATTGGAATATAAGTTCTTCTGAGTGTTGCGAAGTTGGGTAGTGTACTTGTGGATTGGAAGGCAAAATGTTAGAATTTGGTGTTTGTAAACTGTTGGCGTTTGTAAAATGCTGGTGTTTGTAAAATGCTATGGGGAAAGCAATACATAGTCCCTTTAAAAGATGATGTGCTTTTTCTATGCTTAGAGATTCAAAAAGGATGTTTGCAGGTTTGCTGTTGCACAGAGCACCTGAATTGAAACATTTTATCAAAAGGCTATACTGTTAGCAGGCAAAGCAGCATTTCTACCAAGGCAATAGGTTTTTGAATTTAACCAATTAATTTGGACCAGGCCCTTCAATACCAAAAACCAATTAAATTTAAATCTCATGGTTTTGACAACAAAGGACCAATCTTATTGTGAGAAATTGATATGTCATCAAGAGTATAAAGGTTGAGGGCATTTGCAAAATTGGGGTCAGCCAACTGTCATCTACCAAAAGAACAGCTCTCATCTCTAAAAGATAGAATAATTGGCTTACACAGAATTTTCTAAGCCGTAGAGTAAGCTGCATCTAAATTAAAGGTACCTATGGCACAAGTAGTTAATGTTCCTGATGCAAGACAAAATATATTTCTAAGAGTGCTGTATTTAAAAATATAACAACATGGCTGAAGTTGCAAATACAACCAAAACTAAAGGCTGTGGCCCCGTCATAAAACACAGTGAGTTCTTCACCTCTTTTCCCCTCTCTTTTAAAAAAAATAAGATTTCGGAGAGGCAGTTGTTTCATTTTGTTTTCATTAGAAAGGCTGCTTTAAATGGGACTGAAAGCCTATTTCCAAAGTGTTCCTGGAAAAGAAATACAGCTGAAAGACTAGAAAAGATGTTTTGGACATCAAGTGGGCATACATTTGTCCAGATAATAGTTGATTTCTCCAGATTGGTATGAAAATAAAACAAACCAATTCACCGTTCATTTATTTGGTGTGAACATAGACACCTGCAAATATAGACATGCAGTTCTTAAACTACAAACTTGCGATTCTTAGATCAGCCCTGATCTTATTGAATGACGGAACAGGCTCAAAGGGCTGAGTTACCTACACTTCTTCATTGTTCTCATGTTATAGGCCAGCATTTATTGCCCATCCCTAATTTGCTCAGAGGGGAGTTAAGAGTCAGTCAGATTACTGTGGGTTTGGAGTTACTAGTAGGCCAGACCAGGTAAGGGCAGCAGTTTCTTACCCTAAAGGGCATTTGAAGAGCAAATGGATTTTTCCAACAATTGACTATGGTTTTACAGTCATTATTCGACTCTTAATTCCAAACTTTTATTGAATTGAAATTCTACTATCTTCCATGATTGGGTTTACATCAGGTCACCAGAACATAACTTGGGTCTCTGGATTAGTAGTCCAATAATAATACCACTGGACCTCTCCTGTTAAGGGAGCACCAACAGGGAAATTGAAGGGAATCAGAAAAAAGGGGTTTGAAAAAAATAGACAGTGAAGCAAAACCATTAAAATATAAATAGACATGATACTGCAGTCTACTAAAAAAATCATTTGAAAACAACAAAGTGAAATAGAAGGTAAACCCCTACTTGTGGAATAGGCACCCATTGACACCTTTACTGAATTATAACTGTTCAAACAATACATGCAGTTTTGCTTTGCAGATAGATTGATATTTCCAAGAAGAGTTCAAAATATGTTATTCACAATCAGCAAGGGGCATCACAGAATTAACGCTTCAGGTCTCTTCGGGGGTGAACATAAAGATCCAGAAAAGTTCTGCAAAGTTCTCAAAGACCAGCTCAAAGTAAGAATTAACTTCTGGATAAACAGTCTCCAATTCATGTTGTACTAACTGCAAATTCAAGAGTCTCTTGTCTTTCGAGTTTGCTGGAATGTGCCGCAGCAAAGGACAAGAGCTGAGTTTTCTAAAGAAGAACTGTCAGAAAGGATCTTTGAGTTAGCTATCACCTTTACATGAATTAAATCCTCCAGGAAACATCTTTTGGGTCAGAAAAAGGGCCATGGACTACTTGAGGATGGATGCAAGTATGAAGCAACAGTGCCAGGCCAACAACATTTATGTACTTTAGGTGCAGTTTAGGCGCAGACCATGGTCAACAAAGAGCAAATAATGAAAAAAAGAGTAACTGAAATGATTA